TTCAGCTTCAGTCTAACTGTTGTTTTTATTAGCACAGTACTGTATTTAACTAACAGGCAGGAGACTTCTATGCGGGCCAAGGACTTAATGAGCTCGAGTGTTGATCCAAATGACAGATTCTTCATTAGCATGGCTTTAAAACAGAGCCAAGAGGTTTATGGCTCTGGTGCTGTGGAAATAAAACACAGAAAGACTGACTGAGATGTGATGTGCATTCTTTTTGAAAATATGACTGATGATATATCATAAGTGACACTAGTGTGTAAACCCAAGTGACTTCTAGTGAGACCCTGGTATGTGACTTTTAACTTTGATGATGATTTATGATTTGTGTTCTGTTTCCATAGTCTGAGGGCAGTCAAGTTGAACCAGCTCAGTCAGCCTCAGTGGAGTCTATCCCTGAGGTTCTGGAGGACAAAGACTCCACTACAGAGCAGTCGGACAGTACCTCTGTCCATGATATGGACTATGTCAACCCCAGAGGAGTCCGTTTCACACAGTCCACACAAAAAGATGGTATGGATATTGAAGGTTTTTGTCTTTATATTATAATCCTATCTTCATACCACTGTTCCTTAGCATGAGAGGGTTATGCAAGCATTACAACAGAGCTAAACAGTTCGCGCATAGTTAATTTTCTTTACATGTCAGATCTTCTTTTCCTTACTCTCCATCCTCCTTTTGCTTCCTTTAGGAGCATCCCTCATCCCTTATGGCCTCCCATGTCTAAGGGAGCTTTTTCGCTTCCTGATCTCACTGACCAACCCCCATGATCGCCACAACACTGATGCAATGATGCACATGGGCCTGCAGCTGCTGACTGTAGCACTTGAGTCAGCAGACATTGCTAACTACCAGTCGTTACTAGGACTAGTCAAAGATGAGCTCTGCAGACATCTCTTCCAGGTAAACTAGCTGACACTTGTGTGCTCTAGTGGAGTATTTAATATGTTTAATTTCATCATCTGTGCAAATATTTGCTTTGAGTAAGACTTTGAAGATATTAAGGTTTATGTTTATGTTTTAAAATGTTTTTTGCCATCCATTAGTTTGTTTGTGAAGAAACTGAAAGAGGATCATTGTCAATAATTTTGCTCTCAGTCTTTTAATTACAAATCAATGTACGCACAAAAATCCAGTTACAATAAATGAGTGAGCTAGCATCAAGAACAAAATCAACAATTATAATTGTAGAAAGCTTGACTGATTGTCTGTTACAAAATGTTTAAGTATTGTTTTTGTTGATTCCTGTGTTGTAGTTGCTGAGTGCTGACCGTATTAACCTGTACACTTCCTCCATACGAGTTTGCTTTTTGCTTTTCGAAAGCATGAGATTACATCTCAAGTTTCAGCTCGAGGTAACATGTTATTACTAATGTATCTTTATGTTTAATCGGCAATTGAGTCATATGTAATCCACATGCACTTTATGGTAAAATTGATCCTGAATGCCTAATCATTACCCTGTGTGCTAAACTGACAGATGTACCTAAAGAAAATGATGGACATCATCACATCAGAGAACGTTAAGATGCCATATGAGATGAAGGAGATGGCTCTGGAGGCTCTGGTGCAGTTATGGAGGATCCCCAGCTTTGTCACCGAGCTGTACATTAACTATGACTGTGACTTTTATTGCTCCAATCTGTTTGAAGACCTCACTAAACTGCTGTCCAAGGTAGCCTCCTCATTGGATCATTTCTATGCATAGTGTTGATGACAATTTTTTATATTCTTGAAAACATCACAAATTCTTATGGGAATCCTCTCTAGATAATGGTTTGTTTTAAATTGTTTAAACCGTTATTGTTCATAATGGATCTTAAATAATTGACCTTCCAGTTTGTTTTTTTAAATATTCACTGTAATTTGTGATCTGTTATAAAGGTCTTAGTGGGTAAAGATACTAAATTACATATTTAAACAGTTCATAAAGTCTTAAATTTAATGTGGTGAACAATGCAGAAGCTGTTTTTGTAAAATATTTTTTATTATACAACACTATTTATCCTAAGTGCAAGCTTTTTGCCATCCTAACCTTTTTTAGTCACAAAATGTCGATCAGACAAATGGATCAAGATATCAATCTTTATTTGTATTTTTTTGATACATGTCAAATGAATTATAAAATGTTGTGGATTTGTTATTTTAAATGAAACATGGTTTTCCCTCCTCTTTCTACAGAATGCGTTCCCAGTGTCAGGGCAGCTTTACACAACGCACCTCCTGTCGCTGGAGGCTCTCCTCACAGTGATTGACAGCACTGAGGCTAACTGTCAGGCCAAAGTGCTCAACAACACTGCTCAACAAGAGCAGTCAGAAACACTGCTGGCAGAGGGAGAAGGTTCAAGCAAAAGTGGACCAGACACTACAGCTGGTATATTCACCCCTGCAGACATCTCACTGTTGCATAAATATGTTTTTTTTCTTTAGGTCTTTAAAATATAAAGATGTAAAATAATGTCAAAAATCTGTAGCTTCAGTGTAAACATCCCAGTCTTTTGTTTTTTAACATAAACAGATCTTACCAATGGTTTGAGTTTTCAACAAGCTCAGAGTGCACCAGTATGTCCACCAACCAGTGGTCATCTGATGGCAGAGACGATGAAACTGGGCAGACAGGACCAAGGAGACAATGATGCCGGTGAGACTATGATCTGAACAACAGTTTTACCTTTAAATCTTCCTCACCATTGGAGGTTGAACCTGATTTCATCTTTAAGCAGCTGAGAAGAGAGCACCGAAGAAGCCTCAGCGTTTCTCATCATGTTTACCCGATTCCCAAGAATTGATGGAAATTAGAACAAAGAAAAAGGTAAGTGGTAGTGACCGACATAGGTTTATAGTAACATTACACATCAGTTATGAAATCTACAAGTGCACCTTCATGATGAGTTTCTTTTTGTGTCTCCAGCTGCTGATCACAGGCACAGAGCAGTTTAACCAGAAGCCTAAGAAGGGAATCCAGTTCCTGCAGGAGAAAGGCCTCCTCAGTAGCCCCATGGACAACAACCAGGTGGCGCAGTGGCTCAGAGAAAACCCCCGGCTGGACAAAAAGATGATTGGAGAGTTCATCAGTGACCGCAAGAACATGGACCTCCTGGACAGCTTTGTGAAGTACGATGAAAGGCCAGGGCATATGCATTTGTTGATCCTATTAAAGTGTATGTACCCTCTCATAAAGGGTGCAGAGAGTTTGGTTTGCAAGGTGCATTGTTGAATTTACTGTTAACAATTAACAATGCTGAGAGTGCTTGTTCAACTAATGTGAATCTTTTCCACAGCACGTTCACCTTCCAGGGACTTCGTATCGATGAGGCCCTGCGTCTCTACCTGGAGGCCTTTAGATTACCTGGAGAGGCTCCGGTCATCCAGAGACTCCTGGAAACCTTCACAGACAACTGGCATGTAAGACACATTTCCTCAGCCTTGACCGTTATATGGTCACTGGGCGCTTTATAAGGAACACCTTTCCAACTGCTTATTCAACAAATTATCAGTCAGTCATGTAGCAGCAGTGCAATACATGAATTCCTGTATATACAGGTCAGGAGCTTCAGTTAATATTCACAGCAAACATCAGAATGGGATCTCACTGATTTTGAGTGTGACAGGATTGTTGGTTTGAGTATTTCTGAAGCTGCTGATATCCTTAGATTTTCATACACAGCAGTCTGTTGTTTTTTTTTCTCCGAATGGGGAGAAAAATAAAAACCCACCAGTTCATCTCTGTTTTGAGAGGTCAGAGGAGAATAGTCAGACTGGCTGGAGTTGACAGAAAGACTGTGGTAACTCAGATAACCACTCATTGCAGCTGTGGTGAAAAGAGAACCATGAACAACTAGTCCAACCTGGAGATCTAGATTTAAGGCTGCTAGTAACTGCTACTATGAAAACAATGTCATTATTAGCAATGGATATTATATGATAACTAGTTGAATTTTTAACCACACGTGGTGATCGCCATTTGGATAATACATGCAGTTGCTGAAAATTCAAAATGGCTGCCATTTTTCAAAATGGCCACCATGACTGGTAAGTAAATCTTAATAGCAAAAACGTTGAGCAGGAGTCTGATATGGATGATATCCACAACCTTTCTTCACTTGCACAGTCTCCTCTTCGCCCTTGTTATTGACACACAGCTCCACCTAATCCTTATCTATAACTCCCCAAGATTTCTGAGCCATATGTGAGTTTTATTTATTGCGCATGAACTAACAAACAGCACAAGAAACATTTAATTGTGTCCACTTACTTTTGAACACTTGTAAGTTGGGCAGTATCTTTTTAAACGGCTGTATCTCCAACACAGATCTTTCTACATTGATGTAAACCTTGCACATACACACAAACCACCTTTCTCCCATCGAGTCAAGCCAGCCTGTTTACAAAAGGTCTTTTCCATCATCAGATACTTTTAGCTATTAGGTGGTGAAGTGATAAATCACACTGTCCCATGATGAACCCTCTAAATTATTGTAGTAGGATGACATAAGTGTTAAAACTTAAACACATGGTGGTGGACAAAGGAAAAACTACGGGGGAAAACATCTGACTTCTGAAAATAGCTGTATAAGCCGCGTGACCTGGAAACTAATCATAGTAAAGGTCTTTTCTTAGACTGACCACATACACACATATAGCAGCCTTGAAAGAGTTGAGTAATTTTAGACAGTGACACTGTCAGTGAGATTTCCACTCTATGGGGTCGCTGTGGTATCAGCACAATGTACAAGGTGAGATTCATTCTAGATCATAGAGTGCAAGTAAAGATGGACCACATGACTGCTCCCCAGAAATGAAGCCAACCTGGTGGCTGGCTTCAGTGTAGGTCATAAGTCCTCCACCATGTCATGGAACAGTCTTATGATTTGTGTTGGGTTAGAAACAAGTGACTTCAGAACCTCAGATGATGTATACTTTATTCATCATTATAATTTGTTTCCTGTATTTGTGTGTTTGTAGAAAGTGAACGGATCTCCGTTCATGACCAACGATGCAGGCTTTGCCTTGGCCTATGCTGTCATAATGTTGAACACTGACCAGCATAATCACAATGTCCGCAAGCAGAACATCCCCATGACTGTAGAGGTGAGTTATCCCTAATTGTGATCTATCCCTCTCTGTTTCTCTCTCACTCTCCCTCCCCTCCCCTCTCCTCCATCCATATATCACTTTTCACATTAATTTCTATGTCACTTCCCTCATCTTTTCATAAGCGGGCTAATCAATCAACTTGCTGAGCACTAACTTTAAGTTTTCCTGGGACATCAGGCCAAAAGTCTGTCAGAAAACAGAACCCTGTTACTTCAGCAGGCCACGTTACGAGCCATTCATCTGATGCCGCTATAGACCGCACCCAGCCCCTTTCAGGCCAGCTGACCACACCCCTCTTGCAGCAAAAAATGGCAGCTGACCTATCTGCCAGAAACAGACCCAGCCCCATTGACAATGTCAGAAACGTCACTACACCACATCTCTGTGACGATTACAGACCACACCCATTAAAATGGGAAAAGAACAAACAATCACAGGCCTTGCATCACTCACACCAACTGACCACACCCCTCTCACAGCAACAAATTGCTGAAAGCCTCGCCCCTTGTGAACACTCTCACTCTGCCATCACTTTTGTTTGTCAGTTGAATGATCATACAATCCAGCCTCAGTAACAAATGTTGGTGACTCAACATCACGCCTGCCAAGTCATTCCTGGTCATCTTCATCCCTTTGAAACACAAGGAACACTGGCAATGTCAAAGACAGCACATCCTCTACTATTGTGCAAATTAATATGCTGAGATAACTAATGAGCAAGGAGAAGATTTGAACACAACACAAAACCTTACTCATTATAATAATGAAATAAAGTAGAACATTGTAACAAGCACAAAGATCTAATGGGAGAATTACAGTTATAATAATAATAATAGTAATAATGAATATAAGCAATAATAACAGCGATAAAAGAAAAAAGACACAACTTTCCAATTTCAAGAGACTACTAGCTTTCTTATTTATTGAGAGTGAGAATTAGTCGTGCAGAATTTTACAGAGGACATCTTTGAACAATAAGGCTCATTTTGAGATATTAAAACTGCTGGGATGCTTTGACAAGAAATAACCTGTCTTCCTCCGCTCCTACTCTGTGAAAGACTCTTATGGTTTCTGGTTAGTAGTGTCAGTTACTCAGAAACGCACTGTATTCTGGTTAGGCTGCGTAATCCATGCATATTGGTGTCATTAACAGTTTTCTGTGTCCTGTTCAACTCCTTTGTAATGAATAAGTACCCCACTGAAAAACAAAGTTGGGCAGTTTAACACTTATCAAACTTAACCTGACAGCAGCATGAATGAAAATCCATACAACTCACTTATATTTTATTTTCAGAGAAGAAAAAAATGATAAAAATAGAACTTTTTGCTTGTGTTCATTCAGAGATTTTTTTTACAATGCCAAAATGGTAAAAACTTGCACCTTGTTACTTTGCAGATTTATGCTGTATTCTTCTCAAAAGGTGAAGCTACAAACTTCGCTGTATTTATATGCAGTGGGCCCCAAATGTCTGAGACCACATTCCCATTCTAGTGAATGCATAAATGGTCTCAGACTTTAGGGCCCCACACTATCTATTTTTTTCCTCTCACTGCGGCAGGGCCCCATTTGTGTCTGATAGTATGACATTCCCCTGTGAGTGCTAGAATTTGCACTGGTGTGGCTTGGCGGCTCAGAAAACCCGCAGCCAACAACTGTAGCCAGTGGTGGTCTGTTTGAGAGGTGAACTCATCCTACACAGGCGGCATGGGGGCAGGGGGAGGACATGGGGTCTTCATCTCTCTCTCTCTCTCACTGTCTCGCTGTCTCGCTCTCTTTCTTGCTCTGTCTCTCTTTTTTTCTCTCTCTCTCTTMCTCTCTGTCTCTCTTGCTCTCTCTCACTCTCTGTCTCGCTCTCTTCATCTACCGTGTCTGTTTTTTCTCTCTTTGATTGACTGGGGCTGAAGACTAAACAGAGCGTCTGCTTTAGCTTGTGAACAGATCTTGGGTCGTCCACTCTCTCTGACAAATGATTTTAAACACTTGCGTTCTCTTTCTCTTCGTCTCACTGTGCGCACATAATTTGTTCAATCTGTCTATCTTTAGTCAAGTCATACTTCTTTCTACAGCCAGTGCTGTTTGTTTTTTAAATTATCCCTACACAATCCCAATACACTAGTTGCAGTTTGTTTGAATTAAAAAAAAAAGGTTTAATCATTAATCATTACTCTTAATCACTGTTCTGTCGTCGCACAGGACGAATAAAAGAGTCACCTAGCATTTGAGTTCCTTAACAGCTTGAAATGTGTAGCGTTCACCACAGCGTGTGTTGGCAGTGGGGTTATTTTTGAAATGTGAAAAAGTATCCGCAGAATCACTGTGTCTAAATCAGGTCTTTTCCCCAAGGATTTTACAATGATATGACATGTTATGAGTGAGGTACAGGTGAGGTCAGTGGTATAATGTTCATTGTGTCCATAATATACACCATGCTGCTCGTTTTGGCAGCCTGTGTTGGCTAGGACAGCAGCTGTTCTGAGAGCTGCTGTCTAACAGCGTGTGTGTGTGAGAGAGAGTGTGTTTGTGAGAGAGAGAGAGAGAGAGAGAGAGTGTGTGAGAGAGAGAGAGTGCGTGTGTGAGTGAGTTGGAGACGCTGCATGTCCCTGATAGAAGCATGACTAACAGAGGTGTGTTCTCAGTGGCCTCCTGCTCCCTCTGTCTTTCTCTGCCGGTGTTAACTTCTCAGTGTGTTCCTGCTGAGAAGCTCCTGTTTCTCCTCTTCATACCTGCCAAGACATTAAACTGAGCCTTGAGTGTGTCAGTCATCACCAGGTGGTTCTGTTTATTTATAGGAGTAATCCTTGTTTTCCTAAAGCTTTAACTAAAGTGTATTAAGTGACACATAATGAGTGTGTTCCCAGCCAAGGTCCTTTTAATTGTTGATTTGCTGCTCAGTTAACGAAGCACTGAATGACAGAGACTTGGCTGCCTGAGCTAAGCTCCCATGTTGAGATGTATTGACTGACATGTTGATGGTTGAGACGGGCACCTGAGGTGTTCAAGTCAACTTTCTGCCAGGACCCAAAGGTTGATGGTTCCAATAACTGCTTTTTGTTTGTTTTTTTGAAACAGCAATTCAAGAAAAATCTTAAGGGAGTAAATGGAAACAAAGACTTTGACCAGGACATGTTGGAGGACATCTACAACGCTATCAAGTAAGTTCACCTGACGTCTGTTAGTCTGCGTCTGTCAGAAAGCTAAAAAATAATTGCAAATTCCATTGTGTTAGTAATTAAAAAATATATAATAGTAATTCAAGCTAATATTCTGAAAATCTGCTAGTGGTGCTCTGATGTTGCGATTATAATTTTAAATTTATTTGATTCATTGGGGAATTAAGTGACATGGGATTTGAGAAAGAGAGGCATAGTTAGATGTGTGATTCCCCTCTTATTTTTGTGGTTTGGTTTTTTTTTTTCTGGGGAAAAACAAAAATGCATTCTCATACTTCTTCATACTCCTATACTGAATCTGTAGGTGAGTGGGGCTCAGTTTCACTACATGATATACTGTAAAACCATGAAATCACAAAACATTCCAACAAAACTTCAAAATGTGTAGATTTTCATCTACCTGCATGCACACCAAAATACAAACAATCAACAACAGAAAGGTAGTGGTAAAAACACTTGCTCACATCATGGCTCTATGTGGACACTAAGCTTTCCACTCGTAAGCGAACATGAGCTGATGTTACAGCTGAGATGTTTTGCCCTCTGCAGGAATGATGAGATTGTGATGCCAGATGAACAGACAGGTTTAGTGAAGGAGAACTACGTATGGAGCGTGTTGCTACACCGGGGTGCCACACCTGAGGGGGTTTTCCTCCTCCTGCCACCTGGCAGCTACGACCATGACTTGTTCACCATGACCTGGGGTCCCACCATTGCTGCCCTCTCCTACGTCTTTGACAAGAGCTTGGACGACAACATCATCCAGAAGGCCATCACTGGCTTCAGGTACACAATATATACTTTGAATACGGATTTTAAAGTACCACCAAAGATGTCATTCCAACTTCTATTGTTCTGGAACATGATATCATTGGAGTTAGTAATGGATTACTGTGCCTCATGATTTCCTGTTTGCTCATTACGTTGTTGGTAAAGGTCACAATGCATTCAGACAATTATCAATTCAAAATGACTGCACAATATTTAATACACAAATGCTGTATTTCACTTAAGCTGCTTTCAGACATACACTGAACTCAGCAGATAGAAATTCAGGAGGATCAGAAGTGTGAACACCGCAAGCGAGTGAGGGGTTAATGAAGCTTCTAACGCACGACAGAAGCAAAATAAAACAATTCTTCAAAAAAGAGCTGTGTCATAAATGTAGAAGACAATGACAAAGATGTCAAGAGAGTTTGTGGAGATAAGAGCAGACGCTGGTGTCTGTGTGTTGTAAAGAAAATCACGTGATCTCTGCAGCGGAGTTAATACATCGCATCCTGCCTCTTTCTGCTGCATCCAGCTGCTCCACCTCTCGCCTGAACAATGCGGAGGATTTGTTGCTGTTGTGAACACGTCTGTGCAGAGAACCTTCCGCTGTGTTGTGCATGTGTGAAAGGCGAACTGTGGGTAAACTCCATAGACGATTTAGTGGCGGAGTTTACTCGCAGGTCATGTCTGAAAATGGCTTTATTTAAACATTTCCTCAAGCTGATCTGATGAACTCAGTCTTTGAACTTTTAAATAGGAAAAAATGCTTTGGCCAAACTAAAAACATTGTAACATTTCATTTCAGATATTTACAGAAATCTATTCAGTTCAAAATGGCTGGTTATATTTGGGTTTGGGTACCTCTCACATTTGAAATGATATAATACCAGTACTCAGTGCATAATCTGCAGACTTCGTTATGCAGCCCTTAAATTAAGTTTGCCAAATAGTTTAAGATTCAGGTTTTTGTGAACTGTAATAATACCTTAAATCTTTAAGAATGCATCATATGAGGTGTTAAGGTGTATGTGGGGTTTTGAAATGAATATTCATGTGTTGCCTCTTTTTTCTTTGCAGGAAATGTGCAATGATCGCTGCTCACTATGGCTTCAGTGATGTTTTTGACAATTTGATCATCTCCCTTTGCAAGTTCACCACTCTGAGCAATGAGGTGAGTTCAGAAAACTCGCAGCAGCCGGTTGGGCTAATGTGGCTCAGCTTATTTTTAGTTTGCAGTTAAAGTTGGTTAGTTGATGAGTTTTTCACACCCGAAGATGTTTCAGTTAAATAAAGTTTTAATTTTGAGTAAAATACAGGATCCTTAACTACTAATGGACTAGTTAGCTCACTGCCCAATGTTAGAATAATTAAATATTTAATTTTAATTTGAAGTCCTAGTAAATTAGTTATGATGACATCCTCCTCTGATATGGTGGATATGTTGTCTTTAGATTTATTTGGATTATCCAAGAGTTTATTTAGATTATCCTTCAAAAAGCAAAATATAGTAAGAAATGTGATTCCTTACTCTTACTGGAGATTAGTGCAGCTCAAACAATTATCACAACACAGTATGCTGTGGTAACATGCAACACACTCACATCCATGCACACCAATGTATATATCATCAAACGAAAAAAAAACAAGCTATGTAAAAACAAGTCACTGCTCATACCAGGGTCTCAGATAACTGAATTTTGCATGTGGAGGCCGAGTGAGTTATTATATATGAGCCTTCAGATTGTCAATAAAAAGTGCAAGATCAGTGTTTCAATATGTGTAGATCTTGAGAGGTATTGAAATTGGATCCCTCATAAAATGTATTCAAAAGTATTAAAGATCAGGATTTCGGAAAAGTTCTTTAACACCATAAAGCCCCAAAAATATCCCAATGAGTCTATTACTCTGTCCAGTCACTTTATTAAAACAAGTATTTTGTTTCCCATTATCTTTTGTTATCTTTTTAAGTAATGTTACTGTTCAATCCGTGACATAGTTGGACACTGCTCAGCCTTGATGGTACATATAAATACAGTAACTGTAAGAATGCTTGTTGATGTGTCCTCTCCTCCTGCAGTCTGTGGAAAACCTCCCGACAGTGTTTGGCAGCAACAGTAAGGCGCAGACAGCAGCCAAGACCGTGTTTGACCTCGCCCATCGGCACGGCAACATCCTGAGGGAGGGTTGGAAGAACATCATGGACTCCATGCTGCAGCTGTTCAGAGCCGAGCTGCTGCCCAAAGCCATGGTCGAGGTCAGGACTCCATCTTTAAACTCTCAACACTCTTTTCAGTTCTCTCAGTGATTGTGGCTGCTTCATGGTAACACTGCAGACACAGTCTCTGTGTTGTTGCCTCTGTGTCATAGAGAGAGAGAGACTGCATTCTAGATATTCTGCTGCCACCTTCTGGTCAGGGCTCAGACACTGTTATTTTTGCCTCAGGTGGAGGATTTCCTGGAGCCAAACGGGAAAATTTCTCTTCAGAGAGAGGAAACGCCATCAAATCGGTAATCACAAACCCCATCCACCATCTGCTCATATTTCTACACTACAAGATAGTAAAACACTAATCACAGTCTATTTTTTCTGATGTTTTCATCAAGTAAAAACCTTTTATTTAAAGAGAAATGTATATGTGTGAACAATCCAGACCAACAGAGACTACAAACAGAGTATTAAAGTAAAAAATGTGATATGATATAATAATAATACATGTTTGATAAATAATTATCTTCCTCTGTTACTTATCAGTGGTGAGTCTGCAGTGTTGAGTTTTGTGAACTGGCTGACGCTGAGCGGAACCGAGCCGTCAGGCCACAGAGGCCCTTCCACAGAAAACCAGGAAGCCAAGCAGGCTGCCATCCTCTGCATAAAGGTACCAGACATTAAGCACTGTATGCTATATACAGTATCTAAACACGTTTGCTGTCAACCATTCAAAAGTTTTCTCTTGATAACCTTTTTTTCTGTTTCTCTCTTTGCAGCAATGTGACCCAGAAAAGTTGATCACAGAGAGTAAATTCCTACAGTTGGAGTCGCTGCAGGAGCTAATGAAGGTTAATGTTTTTTTCTTACTAACATTTCTTATTACCATTTTTTTTTTTCTCATAACTGCCCTGAAAAGGTATTTGCTGGATGCTCTTTTTTGGCCAGTGTGGATGACAGTGTTTACTGAATAAATTAACTAGATTCTCTTCATCAGGCTCTGATATCAGTCACCCCAGATGAAGAGACCTATGATGAAGAGGATGCTGCCTTCTGCCTGGAGATGTTGCTGCGTATTGTTTTGGAGAATCGGTAGGAAGGAGAATATTACATAAATGCTGCACCGTCACAGCATGGTCATTTTTGTGACCACCTCTTTATCTGTTTCTTCGTGTAGGGACCGTGTGTCCTGTGTGTGGCAGACAGTGCGTGACCACCTCTGCCACCTCTGCGTCCACGCCAACGAGAGCTGCTTCCTAGTGGAGAGGGCCGTGGTGGGACTCCTGCGACTAGCGATCCGCCTGCTCAGACGAGAGGACATTAGCTCTCAGGTACACCAAACACACGCATACCTGGACACAATCACTACAGCAGAGTTAATGGCTGAGACGATCAACTCAGGTTAGGTACACGGAAAGTACAATTATATATGTATATATTAACTGACTATCTGAACACAGGTATTGTGTAACTATTTCATTTTACTGCAACAAGAGTTTTTCAACCCAGCTGATGAAACCAGATTATTCGCCTCTTAGAAAAAAAACTGAAAATGTTAAAAGTACTCAAAGAATAGTTTCACCAGAATCTTAAAACTCAACAAATCAGTATTTTGATATTAACTCAAATCAAAAAAGAAATGGTATGCTGTGTCAATAAGTACATTATTTTGTTAATTATCAGTAAGTAAAGGTCTGTTAAAATTACTGTGAGATCCTTTTCCTTATAGTCAAGCCTGATTTTCTCTTCTCTGTACACCCACAGGTTCTGCACTCCCTGCGTCTCCTGCTTATGATGAAACCTCATGTGTTGTCCCGGGTCAGTAGGGAGGTGGCTTATGGCCTTCATGAGCTGCTGAAAACCAACGCAGCCAACATCCACTGCACAGACGACTGGTACACGCTCTTCTCCCTGCTGGAGTGCATCGGAGCTGGAGTGAAACCTCCGGCTTCCTTCCAGCTCTCCTCCGCCACTAATGACAACGACACAGGTGAAACATTTCTCTCAGCATCATGACTTTGTGTCTGAGATTCAGGAGATGAGTACATTAGGTGTATCCCTTTAGAGGGATCGCCTCGTTTGGAGGATGCGGTCAATGAAGATCCTTCATGGGCCGTGTATTACCACAAAGGCCAATTCGAAAAAGTTTTAATGCCCCTTTGTTTTTTAACATGCATATGGTTAGCTGTTCGGATGAGTTGAAGCGTGATACTCAAGCGTCTCAACATCTGACATTACCTTAAAAAACAGTTACTGAAACGCAATGAATCCTGGTATAGGTCGGGCTGGGAACAATCCAATCATTGAAGCCTTTGTTTTTTTGGAGCAGTGAGGACACATTTGCCAGCTGCATTTGAAAGAACCTTTAAAATTGCATGATTTTCACAAGTTCTTGTACTCCCTTCATTCATTTTAAAGCAAAATATCCTACTATGTTTTAATGGATACAAGAACTTCACATATATAAAAGGTGAATATTGCTATAAGAAGACAGTTATAGTTAATGTTCCTGTTAAAGATTGTTAAAATAAACAGAAAAAAGCTGTTGATTATTAACGAAATCAAAAATAATCAAATAACAAATTGGATTTTGGCCAAACAAAATTTTCAAAATAAACTGTCACGCATTACGAGCCTTACACAAATCAGTCAAGCATGTTAGACATGGCAAAAATGGAAGAAATCTTTTTGATTGCTGTATGTCCACAGGTGCCCAGTCAGATAGCGAACTGTCCTCTCATCATCCCAGTGAAGTGAGTTTAGACCGCGGCTACACGTCTGACTCTGAGATTTACACCGAGCACAGCAAGACCAGGATCTCTCGCTCCACCACTGATGTGGATGTAGCAAGCAGCGGATGGCTCGTGGTCAGTATTTACACACATGTGCATGTGTACACTTGTACTCATACATACAGAATACCAGCACGCAGAGCACAGATGTTAATTACACTTCAGTCACAAGAGTCATGTAGAAGCCAATTTCATTTTATAATGTTAAAAATATATATATATAAGGTCTATTTGTGTTAGAGTCAAAGTAAAAGTATTTAGATGACTTGAGGTTATAATAGGTTAATATTAATTCTATAAATATCTCACACGTCTATGTATTTTATACAATACAATACAAAAGATTGCACTGATGGTTATGATGCATATTTGTATTTCTATGATTTGTATTTTTTACCAGGTTGGTAAAGATGACCTGGACCCAAGTAAGACACCTCCTGTGTGCACTAAAGCCCAGCTAAATCACCCACTGGTCAACCAGTACAGCCTGACGCTGGGTCAGGACCTGGGCCAGCACGACACCAAGTCTCTCATCAAATGTGTGGAAACGCTCTCCTTCATCGTCCGCGATGCTGCGCATGTCACCCCGGACAATTTTGAGCTGTGTGTCAGAGCTATACGAGTATTTGTGGAGGCCAGCCTCAATGGAGGTGAGACTCTTAAAAATGATTAAAATAATTATTGCAAATAGTTCTGTTGTAGGGTATGCTATAAACTCTACTGTGGCAACTCTACATTGGTTCACTATTTAATGTACATTTCTGACTACCTCATTAACGGAGTCGTCTAATATTGCATTTTTATATAGTCTGTAGATTTATGAGAGACAGACTCATTTAGATATTGACTATAGTGGGAGCCAGACTCCACATGTCCACACTTAGTAATTCAGACATGTCATCAGAGATAACTCATGACATCTTCAGGGTAATTTGCCTTATGTGACAAATCTCCCCCAGAGCCGCAGGGAGCAAAAATCTGATCAAATAAATAAATGTTTTCACAGAGAAGCTCCCCTTATGATGAGGGGTCAATTTAACTGGGTTCAAAAATATAATGGTACAGAAGGCATGTATTGTTTATCTCCGACACTCAAACTTTAATTATTTTTCATCTTTGCCGTGTTTTTTCTTACTTATTCCTGACCAGATGACATTTTGAGAAAGAAAGATTTGTGAATGAAAAGTTGTAACAACTTTAGATTCAAACTAGATTTAATTTCCACTTAAGTTGCGAACTCCAAACTAACGGGTTGTTTGATTGTTCCTCTTTCAGGAGTAACTCTGTCCCCACCTTCAGTCTCTTTGTCGTGTCCTCCATGTTTCCACCCCTGTCCTTCCCTACATTCTTTCCCCTCTTGCTCCCTCTGCCCTTTATCTTCCTTGTCATCTGCCCATCAAATGTCTTCATACTCTTTTTCCATTCATCCCTCCTTGTGCTGTTTGTGATCTACAGTAACATGGTGATTAAGGCTGATAAATGGCAGTGGCAGCTGAAGCCCTATTCATTTTCTCCTAGTGCCTCAGGCCATTGGATCCATGCTGTCAACAGAGCTTTACACTGACTAACAAAAGCATCAGCGATGGTTTGATCAAAGCAGTGGGCTGATTCATGGCACTAACCTGTGTGAGATGAACAGAAAGTGTAAAACCTGTTATTAGTCTATTGAGCCTTTGTGCCCTGACCTCATCTCTTGTCGTTAAAGAAGGATTCGAGATAAACAGAGAGCTTTTGGAAATGACTTCATGGTTGTTTAGAGGATCTGGATATCTTTGGTGTTTTTGCTTTTTTTGGCGCAATTATGGACTGTACCACTTAACACGGGGTGCTCAGTAAGAATTAGTTGTATAGAATTAGTCGTCCATTTCCTCTTCAGTCAAGGAACCTCAATGTAACTTATCTTTTTGGGAAGAATTGTAAAAATGAACTTAATGAAAAGTCGTAACTATCAAAAGAACAGACAGTTTCATAATTTCAGTAACCAGATGACATACTACATTTAAAAGGTCTCTTGTATAAATAAAAAAAAATAGGCAACCTCTGCCTGCTTCCTATAAGATTAATAATTCTTCAACAATGTTTTTCCCTCAGGTTACCGCAATCATGACAAAAAGAAGAGCCACAAGTATGACTCCAAGTCCCGGCTGAGGAAGAAGGCAGGCGGGAGGGAAAAGGAGGGTGCAGGCGGCACAAGGCGCGGTGGCAGCCGAGCATCCAACCAGCGTCCATCACGTTCCCACAGCGATGAGGAGGAGGACGAGGGCGTCCCAGCCAGTTACCACACGGTGTCATTACAGGTTAGTCAGGACGTAAGTACAACAGCCCTCTTCACCCTTCTACCTTGTGTTGATTTGAGGCCAAGAATCCCAAACACATCTTTGTTTTACTCACAAATGTTTCTTGTGGGTAAAACACATGGCTTTTCCAGAGGCTGGGTAAACACTGCTTCATGCTGAGGTGACTGGTACGTCAAGATGTTTTTGGGAATCCATGGCTTTGGCACCTAAGGGTACATTTTGGAATGGTGTAACTTTATATGATGATTATTAGAAAAATGTCGCACAGTAAAACTTTATTAACAATATTTATCTGTAATATTACACCTTTCCTGAAGATATCCGGTATATCCTTTGTTTCCGCTGTGATGTTGACTTTCTGTGGGAATTCTACATTAAAGGATAACACCAGTGTATTTTCATCTTGTTACTACATCTACATTTATATATATTATATACTTATTTGTTTGTAGTTTATTGATTAGTTTTGGTAAGTGTCTTGTCAACGCTGTAGCATATGAACAGCTGTGAAGTCTAGACTCCAACTATCTGACAGATCAAAAAGAAAACTATTATTGTAAATGTAGCAAACTTGAAAAATCCAGTATTTCCACCCCCATAAAGATCTACTGTGTATTAAAACCTGTGCTCACCAGCTGTGTCTGGAACTATTCATCTGTACGTCCAGGAAACTGTGTTGAGTCTCAGTAGGAGAGAAAAGATGAGATAATATGTGTGAACTTGAAATGTTAGTGATTGTATTAAGCCTATCTCCCTAAATGTTGAACTGTTCCTTAAAGTTGTAACAATGAGTCTGTAATACAGTTCTACTTCTTATTATTACATTTGGCCTTTTTGTCAGTGACTTACAATGTGGCGTAACACAGCTTTGGTTTAATGAAAAAAAGTCAATGTTGCTTGGATGGCATCAGGAAAAAAGCAATATTACACCAGTGTTATCCTTTATTTTGTGATCCACAAACAGGAACATGACAGTGCTGTGAATTCCTTTTTTTCCTACAAATACACAGTCAGAGCTTCAGTACTTTTTAATCTGTACAATATTTTATCTGGTTGAGGGGCAGTCTTGCTGTTGACTAGCGACATTAAACATATTCTGTATGTTTTCCTCTGGTGAAAGTACAATATTTAAATCTTCCTGAAAGCTGCTCTTCATGGTAAACTAACATAAGTCCTGTTTTCACGACATGATCAACTTCTGACAGAGGGCTGTTTTCTAGTAATACATCATATAATACACATGTATAAAAATACACGTTTGTTTGTCCACGGCTCGTCAGCTACATAATGTAATGTCTATGATATACAGCACAGTGTCATGTTACCAGTTAATCGCATATTTTAGAGATAATGTTGCACAAATAACGTTAGTAACTGACTCATCCAGTATTCACTTGACTGTGTCATCACCCCACATGTGACATTGAGTTGTTATTGTTGAAACTGTTGTCGTTTGTGACGGTGCAGCTTTTAGACCTGATGCACACGCTGCACACACGGGCTGCCAGCATCTACAGCTCCTGGGCCGAGGAACAGCGTCACCTGCAGGCCGCGGGCAGGAAAATCGAGGCCGACTCCCAGACTCTGTGGACCAGCTGCTGGTGTCCCCTGCTGCAAGGTACGCAGGAGGTGCAGTGCAGCAGCTGCTGTAGCGAACATCTTCATCACAGTTATAATTTATTGTTCAGAGCATTATTTTATTCTTCTTATAATGCAGGGTCATTATATGGTACAGTACAAGTGCATTAACAGGATATGATAAAACTGCTAATATAGCTTGTGTTGCTTGAACACATTTCTAATTGTTACAAAAGTGTTTGGCATCATGGTGCTTTGTGTTGGAATGTTTTTTTCATACATAAATATGGGATTCATCTTTTTTTGTAACAGTTAAAATCATAAAAATATAATTACACACATAAATATTTAAAGACAACTGCACACATTTTCCCTTGATTGCTACAGATTTAAAATTTAAAGATTTTAAAAAGGAGAGAAATCAAAACCTTGAAGTCAAGCTGTCTGGAAACCTGTTCAAACTGTCCTACTCTACTTGTAAATTTAATTATTGCTCATTTGTTTTAACCAAGGTGTCTGATGGTCAGTTTGAGTCTGTGCTGCAGCTGATGTGTGTTTTGCTGCCAGGTATTGCTTGGCTGTGCTGCGATGCCAGACGACAGGTCCGTATGCAGGCCCTCACCTACCTCCAGAGGGCGCTGCTTGTTCATGATCTTCAGACACTCGATGCCACTGAGTGGGAGTCCTGCTTCAATAAGGTAAGAAAAGAGGAGGAGCTACATGTCTGTATACATGAACGTAATCATTTTATCTTCTGCAGTCGCTTCTCTGTGTTGTGTTCTCTGGTAACAGCTGTGCTCACTTACAGTCAGTGGATTTTCACTTATTTCAGGAGATTGCTGATGTGTATATACGTGCATGTGTATGTGTGTTTGCAGGTTCTATTCCCCTTGTTGACTAAGCTGCTTGACAACATAAGTCCAGCAGATGTGGGCGGTATGGAGGAGACCAGAATGAGAGGCTGCACTCTCCTGTCGAAGGTTTAAAGCAACACACACTTACCCAGCGTACACAACCAGCACTTTTTCATGCACTAAATCAAAAAAGCCAATCCCAGCAGAACAGTGTTACATCCTGCAGATACAGGTCAGGGGCTTTATAAGTACTGGAGGTCAGTGAGCCTGAAGTTATCTTCTTAAAATCAAATAGGAACATTGACAATAGCCAGTTTGGAAAATTCCTATCATAATAACTGTATTAAGTTTCTGTATTAAAGGGATAGTTTACCCAGAAATGAAAATTAGCTCATTATCTACTCACCACTATGCCGATAGGGGTGGGTGAGACTCCTAAAGTGTTTTGTGGACCCAAACACTTCTCCCACCCTGCCGTCGGCATAGTGGTGAGAAGATAATGACTGAATTTTCATTTCTGGGCAAACTTTCCCTTTAAGTCCCTTCATCTCTTCATCTTCGTGTCTTAGCCGTTGGGCAATATGCATTATGGCAAAATATTCAAACTAGACCAAAAAAAGAGTGATCCCCCTAAACGCTTCAGCTTTGATCAATAACGATGTTGAACAGGTTGCCTCTGAACGTTCCAGAAACATTAGCTCACGTGAACCGAGCCCATTGTTGTGGCAGCAGCTGACGTTTGACCGTTTGCATCTGCTCAGGTTTTCCTCCAGCACCTGTCTCCTCTGCTGTCCCTGCCTACCTTTGCTGCCCTGTGGCTCACCATCCTGGATTTCATGGACAGGTACATGCACGCAGGCTCCAGCGACTTACTGGTGAGTACAGTGTTAATAGTGACTTTTTAAATACTCCTGAGCCTGGTGTTGAATGACCGACTCTGAGCTTGTTCATCTTCTCTGCGTTTGCACATGCAGCTGGAGGCGATACCCGAGTCTCTGAAAAACATGCTGCTGGTGATGGACACTGCAGGAATCTTTCACAGTGCTGACTCAAGGACGGGATACTCAGACCTGTGGGAAATCACCTGGGAACGCATCATCTGCTTCCTGCCTCACCTGAGGGAGGAGCTCTTCAAACAGACCGTCATACCAGGTATGCAGCTGACACACAAGCATGTTTGGATAAGATTAGTTAATCTGATACACACAAGTGGCAACATGTTTGTGTTAGTTTGTTGTATTACTAGGAACTCATGTATCATCATCATTTTTAGATCCAGTACCCAGTCCTCCAGCAGAGACAGTGCAGCCTTCACCTCCAGCAGGTCGGCCTCCATCCCCTCAGGTGTCTGTACCACCTGCCCAGCCGCCCTCCCCAGTCCCAGTGCCCCCTGCAGAGACACACCCCCCCAGCAGGCCAGCATCACCCCAGGAGCCTCAGTCAACCAGTGTCACCGGTAAAAAAGTTATCTCTGTCAAGGTGGAGACACTTGAATACCTGAGGACACGGAGCCTGGTGAAACCAGACAATCACACACATTTCTTCTTATCGATCAATCTCACAGAACACAGAGCAACAGAAATCAATCAGTGTGAAACAATGATTTAAGAAATAAATGATCACATTACAATCACACCAGGGCTTCAACACTGCTGATCATTTTCACAACCAAGCAATTCATCGATTGGTCAATAAAACATTAGAACACAACACAATTGTTTTAGATCTGAAGTTGATGATGTTAAATGTTTTGTTTTGTGTATCTAAAAGCCAAAGATATTTGGAGGCGGCTAAACAAAGCTTCACATTTATAAACCATAGAATGTTTGGCATTAGATATATCATTATGACTTTTTAATTTTTTTTTATTTAATTACCTCAAAAATGAACACGTGTCCATGAGATGCAGTACACACAGGAAGTAGGGGGCATTGTAAGGGTAGTACTTCAAGTGTGACCATGTTTTTTTATTTATAAAATGCAAATTCTGCAGTTATACATGCTGAGTTATTTGGTGTGACCCCTCGTGGAAAGCGCCAGTAACAGGCGTAGTATGTTCAAGTATGTGAACAATCTAAGTCAAGACGCATCTGGTCGTCTTTGCAAGTGCACAGCTGAGCAGCAAGTTTATCCACTGCAGTGTTGGTGCTTAAGCAGCAGACAGGAAGTCAGATAAGGAGCTGGAGACAAACGTGGTACGACCAGACTCAGATGCTCGACTAAAATCAATCAAACACAGATCTTGTCCTGTTGTTGAAGTGACGAGTGGAGCAGTTACTGACCTGCTTCCAATCCTCTGCTCTGTTTTTCAGGAGCAGACCGATCATCTGCGGTCCCACCCTCCATGCCAGTTCCGTTAACTACGTCCCCCACCCAGAGTCCCTCACCCTTAAGCCAGTCCCCCCTCATCCTGCAGCCCCTTGCCTCTCCCTTGCAGGTGGGAGTCCCGCCCATGTCCCTGCCGATCATCTTGAACCCCGCCCTCATCGAGGCCACCTCTCCCGTACCGTTGCTGACCTCGCCCAGACCCATGAGCCCTGCTGACGAGGCCCAGTAAGACAACCGGAGCACCCCCCCACTGAACAACTGGACCCCAGACTTCAACTCCAACTTCAGGATCTGCTCGTCAGCAGCTTTTTGACATGATGAGATATAAAGTATGTGAGAGGACCGATGACATGTGACACCTCAGTCTTACGACGTTTGATTTGACGCGTTCCTTGTGTTGGCTGTGGGGTCAGAGCTACACTCCTGACCCTGCTGCTGCACCACACGCTCTTTGTGCCATTTTTCTGTTTGCTACTTTGTTTTAATTCCTGTGGATAAATGACTAAATGTAGAAAGCGTGACATCATGCACAGATATTTTGGATCAGAGAATTCATTGAAGGAAAATAATGCCAATTAAAATGATTGCAGTAAAGTTGCAGTTCACTAAAAGTGTGAGGTAGAATCAGGGCTGCAGCTCAGAACACTGAGGTCCTGTCATTGCTGCTTTTTGGGGAGAACGTGGCTGTTTGGCAACATCGGGACAGTTGACATTGTTGTGCACGTGGAGAGAATTTGACTGGTTGATGCCAGTGTTTTTAAACTCAACTTGCTGCATTATATATGTACAATAACACAAATTCCCCTACACTGCTTTATTCTGGGGGGGAAGAAGGAGGCTTTAAAAGAATTATGTTTATCTGGGAGTCAAAGTAAATGAGAGTATGTGTGCACGTGCATGTATGTGCAAAACAGTGACTCACTGGTGTTTTTAATAGTTTTGGGAGAAGAATGAAGCTGAGGAAGGAATCAGATGTATCAGGCTCTGGACACACACACACACACACACACACACACACACACACACACACACACACACTCTCCTGGTAGCAGACACTGACTGTTACTTTGACTCTAATTATGTTGATGATGATGATGATGAGATGTGTTGGCAGGAAGGTACTTTCTCCTGAACATGACTCCTGCCTGAGTGTTCATACATGAGGCTGGAACAGTTTCTAATATCCACACAGGCTTCATGGACGTAGAATCCTCACAAGTCTGATCTCAACGCGTTCTCTCATGACGTTGGTGAGTTTTGAAGAAGAAGAAACGAGTGCAGGACACTTCTCCCCCCCCCCCCCGAGCTCGTCCTTGATAAGACTTGAGACGACCTCGTGGGTTTTCTTGTGAGCCTGAGCCCCATCTCGATGTTTAGGTCTCACACAGGTGGTGGTGTTTCAGCTGCGTGATGCAGTTGATGAAGGAGGAGTGGATTACACAGAGCTTTGACTTCAGTCGTAACAGAAGCGATATTTCTCCCACTGTTGTCTCACCACTGACAAGCAAAAAAAAAAAAACCCCACAGTTATTTATTTATCAGTCAGTTTTTGTTTTCAGGGACCAAATTCTGTTCTTCTGTAACGTCCAAAGACAGAGACACCGTTTATTTCTCCTTTTAATTCTTCATTCTATTTTATTTTAACCCCCAAAAGTAAAAACAAGCTTTGATTTCAGCACCGTATGAATTCCTCCTCCACTTAACAAAGGAGTGTGTGTGCATGTGCAGCCTTGCTCAGACAGATGGGAGATGTCACATCTGGAACATTCCACAGTGCAGATACCAGAGTGAGCTGGGAGCCCGGTCCACTGTGCGGACGACAGACAGGGACAGACACAGCAGCTTTTAAGGTTCATGATAAACCCAACAAATATGTCTCAGAGCTCAGAATCATGGTTCATGGTGTAGATCGCTGCAGACACGTGTGTGTGGAGTCGAAGCATGAACGAAGCTCAGCAGCTTCAAGTTGACGTCGCGACAAAATGTATGGAAGCAGTAAGACGTCGCTGCTGAGTGGAGTCATGACCGAACACTTCCTGCTCACACGGAGCCTCCTTTGAATTATGGCGTCTGTCTTTGGGAAATCATCTGTTGCGAACATAGTGGGAATTTGTCAGCAGGTCATTTTTAAGTGGTGCCGTTTCAGAGCCTTCAGTTCTGTCGCTTTATTCATGTGCAGTGGAGACAATGATGTAGCAGAGCTCCCACATACCGTGCTGATAGAAACAAGTGAAGGGCAGCAGCTGCAACTGCAGCACCGGAGAAAGGCGAGGCGTTTGCAAACATGGACTCCAGAGAATGTCCGCTTTATCGGGTTTGGACTTTCTCTGGAATTGTCCTTACTCAACACAACAGGAGATTCTCCGCTCAGACACTTTCACAACACAGAAATCTCCGGAGGGTTGAGGTGAGGGTGGAGCAGCAGGCGGAGGCAGGACGTAACATATCAATTCCACTGCAGGGATCACATGTTTTTGTTTACAGCACTAAACCACTTTTCTATCCCGAGATATTTGTTTTCTTTTTTTAGTTTTGCGTCTGTCGCCTGTTAGAAACATCAACACACCCTCTCGATCTCCTTCATGTTCTCACATCAGACATTCTGCAGACTTCAAACTAGGGGGAATCCCAGAGAAACTCCGCAGAACGTCCGCAGCCTCTCATCCGGACACTTGGGTTCTTACATACAGCCCCCTCTGGAGATTATCCAGAGTGCAGTGCATGTCTTAAAGCAGGCGAGCTCCAGCAGAGCTTACTGAAGTGCCGCAGTGTGTGTTGATCAGCAGGTCTCTGTAGGTGATGGGATATGACGCGTTCAGCAAACACTGCAGTAAATCAACGAAGATAAACCAGCTTCAATATTTGACATGACGTCCGGGTGCTGCGCTGCGCCCTGGTGGTGGAGTTGAGAAGTTTTCACTCCCATCAACACAGTGTTAGTTTATTTTTCTAAATCCATTCACAGTTGTAGAATATAAACCCATTTTTCAGCAGTTCCTGCCCCCTTGTGAGGTCGCCTCCTTTTTGTTGGCATGTGTGACCCCACGAACATCAGGTGCAGTAGATCTCAGCTTCTCCACACTTTGACTTCCTCTGTGACTCCAGGCAGGAGCACATTCACAAAACAGAACTGAAAGTCCATCAGACTTCTTCTTCCTGTTGTATCTGTTGTTAACATGAACCAAACCTGAACTACAATTCATCAGTGGACGTGCGATCGTTGCTCGACCTGAATCTTTAAATCACGATTTGCCTTCTGAATACAAAAACATAGGATTCTTCAGCAGCACCACTCTGAATGAATCCCACTTCAACTAGATGTTTTCCAAAGTGCTGTACATTCGCTGGTCTTCACGTGTCCACAGTGAGTATTCAGTCGTTACGTCTCAGCTTGGTACCTGCTGCAGTTTCTCTGCATAGAAATGTGTTGACCCTCTTTGCATGCTGACTGTGTCGTGTGTACATTGACATGAACCCTGACGGACTGGTGGGGACTCACCGTTTTAAGACCAAGTGTGTGTCTGTGAGTGTGCAGATGTGGAGCCTAGCATCCAGTCACAGTGGCCCTGGATTCAGATGTTTCATGTTAATGTTATTTATTGAACTAGGTGAAGGAGAGAGGGATGTTTCCCACTGACGTAGATGCAGTGTGTGTATGTCAGCTAGGTAATGCCGCAGCCTTATAGAGCCACTGACGTGACACATTTTGTAAAGCTGTGGGTTTATTTGTTGTATGGGATTCTTAGATATATGAGCTGACAGGAAATTACATGAATATAATATGTATATATATATATAAATATATATATAAATGAAAGGTAATGTACTTTTTATTATGTAATAAATAAATTGTAAAGAAAGTCCTCATTTTGGTGTTAATGTGTTGATTTTTTTACAAGCACTCTTAAAAATGCAGCTAAGGTTTGGGTTTGCTTAGATTCTAAGTGCCCGCCTCATTTGGCCTGTGATTGGCCAGCGGCACAGGCCAAGACAGCAATTGTTAAACCCACATTCAAGGATCATCATCATCACATCTGTCTTCTTAAAAGAAAACTGAATAGATGAAACCCCTGGATCAGCTGGAAAACTGAGCTGGAGCCAATCAGCTGACGTTGGGCGAGAGGTTCCTCATGGACCTGCCTCCACTCCAACCCAGGGGCCAATCTACAGACAACCATTCACTCTCACACCTGCAGTCTATTTAGAGACTTTTAACCTGACTCCAATTTGCATGTCTTCGGACCGTGGGAGGAAACAGGAGAAACCCCGCACAGACACAGAGGACATGTGAACTCCACACAGAAAGGCGGGAGAATCCAGAACCTTTTTGCTGTGAGGCGACAATGCAGATCACGCCACCGATCCACCTCATCAGAATAATGTGGGTTCATTTATTATTGATTTGAATGTGATACGTCCTCGCTCCCCAAGGCCAACACTCATTTTGATTATTTCAACTATATCAGACTGACACTAACTTTCTGGGGTGTTGCTGGAGGTGATCTCTGTCATGGCAGCAACATTCACAGGATTATATTCTCCTAAGCGATTTCCCTTACATGTAGAAGCACACGTTTGTTTTGCAGCAAAGCTTCATATTGAGCTGAATTAAAGGGATCATTCCTTTGAAAAGTTGTGAACTTGGATCTGAACATTGTCGTTTGACGACAGACCTCTGACGTAGCTGACATGCAATGTTTAACAGCTGTTCAGTAAACATTCAAACTGACATGTGAAGAGGAGAAAGCAAATTCAGTTTTAATTTATGACAAACATTCATTGTAAAATCTGTGCAAAAAACAATTTCTGCCACTGGACTTTAAGACGCATTCAAAATTGACTTACAATGATGGTAATTATATTATACGTGTAGAAAACACATCTCAGAACATCTCTGGTGTAAAACATTTGGGTTTTTATTTCAAAGCAAAATGAGAACCACATTTTTTTTTAGTAAACTAACTGTATCAGAAACTACAGAGGCCAGGAAAAAAACTGTTATATTTGTACATGGAATGTAAAAACATCGGGGAAACAAGGAACCATAACAGCAAACTGTACGGATTTAAATTATCTAATCTAGAAAGAATGCAAATCTCTTGAAGGGACAGTGGAACATAAACGTGAACAACACTCCACTCACAAATATTTTTTTTTTTTTTTATTCCTCGTTAACCAAGACAGAACCAAAACCCCTACTGTCACCTATCTACACCATCAGCAACAAACAACACTTAGAAAAACAAATGCCTAAAACAGGAATCCTCACTTGGCGTCCAGCTTTGCCATTTCCTGAAGGTATATTCCGATGCTCTCACTGTCGAACAGAACAAAGTAAATGTTTTTCAGGGAGGAGCTGGTGGACGACACGAAATGGTTGGAGATGGCCTTGAGGATGAGCTGGGCGGCGGTTTGCTTTGGGAAGCCGTTCCTGCGGGAGACATTCGACAGAGTTGTTAGATCAGTGTGTGCGGAGCTGTGGGAGCTGATGTTACACACAGGACACGTTTTACCACCGATGTAGAGGATGTGCAGCTGAAGAGCAGCTGTAAAAGATACTGGTGTGAAGTGTCGCTGTGAGTGGAAGGATAACAGATGGAGCTGCATCTGC